AAGAAAGAAAGAAAAGGAAAGAAGAAAAAGAAAAAGAAAAAAATCATTCCCCAGTCATGGAATTCAATCTATTTCTAGTTCCCCAATTAAATTATGAATCACATCTGTCCACCTTTTTGTAGTTTCATCAAAAGCCAATTTTTGAATATTTCACCATTTTATTTTATTTTTATCAAAGCAAAATCAAATCACAGCCAATATGAAAAGTTTTTGTGTTTTGCTTTAGAAGGAAAGCAAAAAAAAAAAAAAAAATAGATCGGTTTCTCTATGACCCCTGACCTTTGAACCACAACCTCCTTGCCACTAAAGCGTTCAGCACCTTATTTAATCTCTCCTCTCTACACTGGTATAGTGCTGAGAAAAGGAAACAGAAAACATAATCTGGGGACTTCATCAATTTTTCATGAATTTTCATTTAGGCCAGAACCCCCTCTTACCCTGGTCGATAGATCAAGCTGCTGTCATATATTTACCACCTGGGGCTACAGCTGCTATCTCTAGGGGCTGCCACTGACTCACGCTGTATCACAGGCAGCCACGAAATGTGGAAGGACCCCTGTGCTCCTTCCGCTCCAAACACAGGGAGAACTGGTGTTCAAACTGAAATCCTATCTGCCCCAGCTACTCCTCTGCTCTCTTGGTGGTCTCATCGGAAAACTGCATATTAACTTTTTCGGTGCCAGGTGCTTTGCTGGGGACCCTGCAATTCTGTTTTCTAATATGTAAAAATTGCTCTCACCTAAAAACCTTTCTTGAGTTCAAGTGATTTGAAAGGTACTTTCTGACTATTTTTCTTTTCAAACCACGAGGGAAAAAGCAAATATGAGATAAGTGATTCAACACTCCATATCAATGGTTGCTCTTGAATATTTTTTCCCTCCACTGTATTATTCTGTTACATAAAACTGATGTTTGTATTAAAGGAAAACAAAAAAGAGACCATGTACAGTATGGTAAAGAACAGGCTTCTTTCTCAACAACCTGTCAAGACAGACGGTTATCAATACAATTGTACATTTCATCTGACAGCAGAAACCAAGATTTTTGAAATGAAAATGAAAACCAAGGTGAAGCAAAGAGAGTCCAAAAATGCCCATATTTTTTATCAATAATCATATTTCACAATAAAAGTTGTAACAAGTTTGTTTGCTACTTATCCATACACTCTTAATTACCTAGATACTGGAGATCAGTAATTCTCAACTGATTTTGACCCCCCCAGGGGATATTTGGCAGTGTCCAGAAATATTTTTAGTTGTCACAACTGCGGTTGGGGGTCTTTTTGGCAGCTCCTGGGCAAAGGCCAGAGATGCAGCTAAACATCCTACAATGCACAGCACAGCCCCACAAAAAAGAGATATCCAACCCCAAATGGCCATAGCGCAGAGACCTGGATAGCTTGCTCTAGTTTGCTCACACTCCATTCAGGGCTAAATTCTTAGGAGAATGGCAGCATTTGCCACTCCAATTCCACCACTTACTCCTTCTTCAGCTGCCATGCTCTCTTTCCATTCCTAAAGTCCACAGAGTACTTCTTATTTAACCATCATGTGGCCTTGGCATTGCAAAACACTTTTTCTTTCTTAAAATTGTTTCCTTGTTCTTCATGTCACTTCACTCCCCATTGGCCATCACTCTGATACCTCCTCAAAGCCTCCTCAACCAGTACTTCTTTCCTTTGCTCACCCTTAAATATTGGGGTTCGAAGACACGGGAGTGATCTCAGCCCTTATTAACCACTCGTGGCACAGAGCCTGCCTGGGCAATCATCTCTACTTTATCTACTCCCACCACTTTATCCTCCATGTCATAAAGACAAGTTCCCTTTTCAATGGAACATGAGATATTTTTACCTTGATGTCTCATAGGCATGTTAAATAATACAGTCAAAGCTGACTTCACTGTCCTGTTCCTATTGCAGTTATTTCTCCTATGCCTGCCATCCCTATGGGGGTAGCACTATATACCTACTCACTCAGCGGAAAACAAAAAACAAAACAAAAAAATCGAACACTGGGAATCATCCATTATGCCCTAAGTCCCTAAACTGACCATAAAGTGATATGATTTATAATTTCTAAATCTGATTCAAACTATTCCCTTCTTTCAATCTCCATGCTAGTTTCAATTCAAAATCGAATATATACGCCTTTCATTTGACAGCTTCTTAACTCCTCTCTACTTCAATCACCATCCCCTTAACCTGGTCTTCAATTCTCTTTCAAAGACTCCTTTTATGTAACAAAAAAATCTACTTTTCCAACTTATGTTGCCCACCTACCTTATATCAAGCTACCTACGGTTCTCCAAATACACAGTGCCATTAGACTTCCATTCTTTCCTTTACTGGATGAAACAGTGACATGTCATGATTGAGCTTTTATGCTGAGTGTTCTAAATTATGAAAGCCAAACATTGATCTAATCTATAGCTACTCTTCTATCATTTATAAAAAATACATACTTTAGTAACAAATAATACTGAAAAAGCACAATGCTTTGACCCAAATTTCCATATTAATACATTTTATGAAACACATAAGGAAAGAGAGATGACTGATGATCTAATGCGAAAGAGATGAGTAGCATATAAATGGGTATTATTTGATCTGGTGTTGCCTCAAATGGCATGAACTGTTGACACGGCATTAGAAGAAAGAATTTTATTCACTAGCTAAATCCAATTTAGAAGCTTTCTTGTTTTCCTCTCTAGGTCAAAAGTATTTTTAGCATTTCTCAAAGCTCATTGATTTAAAAATAAAAAGTGCTACTGTCACATTACACAAGAAAAAAATCATGGTTTAAAATTTTCCTCCTAAAACAGCTTGAATAATTATTAATGATGCAATTAGGAAAGAGCAATCTTCAGATTAAATAAAAATATAAGATGTGTGTGTGCTGGGAAGAATTTTTAAAAAGCTAAGGTTCAGGGGGAAAAAAATGTTTGTAGCTGCCCGACAATAAAATGACTAACCAATTTAGGTAAATTTTAATATTAGGAAGAAAAGGGAGTTGAGAATTAAAAATATATATTTGCTGCTGAGTAGATAAAATAATAAAGTTTCGATTAAAAAATTTTAATTGTTATTTATGTGATCAGCCAAATTTCATTTAGAGTGTTTTCCTGAATATGGCACAATTACCTAAAACTAAAAATTAGAAGAATCAGGATTTGGTTTTCAAATCCCCATTAATTTACTGCCTGACTCTTCATCACTTAACCATCATGGGTTTCATTTTATCTATAAAATGGGAGAATAATGCCTGTTATATTTACTATAAAGGGATTTGGTAGGGGTGGAGATCAATGGAATTTGACATTGAAATATTTCAATATGTTTGAATTCCAGGAATAAGATATTTCAAAATAAAAATAGAAGACTTAGGAATATTTATTCTTGAGGTTTTGTGTACATATTTCAAATCTCACTAAACTGCATTTAAATTGACTGCTTTTTTGAACTAAGATATAAAAATGAAATTACCTGGTGCCTGTGTACAAAATTGCCTTGCTAGCTAAGGTTCTAATTTTAGTATATGTGCTGCCGAAGCGAGCACGTTAGCTAAGGTTCTAATGCTCCTATCTCAAAGTACTTCACAAAACAAATTTGGGTTTTAGGATTCTTCTAGTCTTTTCCTACTGGATTTACACACTTCAAGCATTAGTAGGTTTTAGATTTCCTGGTACAAACTATAAATCAAAAGACCAGATACTTGAGAACAAAAGCTTTCATTGAGGTAGCTGAAGAAATAGTATGACTTTGTTTACTAAAAGATGGTTTCATAAATTGCTGAGAATTGCAATACACATGTACACAAGTTTTATAATGCAGTGTGATACCATGTAGCCTGTGAGTACAAGGATCAAGTTTAATTACAGACATGAGACCACAAGCTATCATTTAGCACTCACCTTCCAGCTATATAAATAAGACTTATGCATCTTGAAGTAACTCAGTCTTCTTACCTATGAAGACCTGGTACAACCCGAAAACTGAAAAGTACAACTTTTTTTATGCCCAATTGTTACCATCTTATTAATGATCAATTCCACATAAAATCTTTCCGCAGAATAAATAATATCAAAAGTTTAAGGTACTGTTTAAATTATGACATCAAATCCTTATCTATAAACCAAAAAAAAATCTGTCATATATTTTGTTTTGGAAAATGATGCATGAAGTTATGAAATCAATGTTCAAACAGATGCAAAACACTGATATCTTGATTTACTAGTGCTATTTGGGCTGTCTGATGAATAAATAAATGTATTTTTTTAAATGCCAAAGGCAGGGCAAGCCCTTAACTATTGCTGATTACCAAGACTGAGCAAGACCCTTTCATGGATGAACATTTTGTGCCCACAAATATCAGATCTCTTCTTTGATGAGTTTTATTGATAGAAAAAAATAAATAAATATAGTTGCTGTTATTGCTCCTATATTCTCCCCCATATGCCTATAGTAATGAATCCTGAATTCAGACCGGAAGTAAAAGAGCTAATATAACCTAAGGAGTATATTCTTTTTAAAGTTGTTTGATAAAAATCAGATTTAGAAATATATGTATACTATAATATATACAACAGTTATATATAAATAGATAACAGAAATAGGTAGAATATTGAATTTATGCCCCATATTTGATGCCATGTTACATGTCAACTTTTCATTTTAACATAGCTGACTTTAATATTTGACTATATCTCTTATCAACAATTTGAATTTTAAATATGACCAGCACCATTGTCACTTGGCTTTAATGTAAAAACATAATTTCCACCTTGCTTCAAGAAAAGTAAATTTATTGCAACACCATGGCTTGACATTATTTTGACCAGCTTTCTTTGGAGAAGGCAAAGTAAAATTATGCATGGCATGTTGATTGTTTTCTTCTTTAGGTATAAAGTACCCACGGGGACAAATCAAAGCTTACTAAAAATAAATCAAAGTAAAAATGTGTGCTATTTATGAGATTCATTATTTACTTACATGCCACTTCCAGAGATGCATTTCGACTCACTGCTTCACCGAGATAGTTCCTTGCAACACAGATGTAGCTTCCTTCATCAGGTTTGCTTCTGCGCCCATGTACAATGCGCAAGAAAAATAAGGATCCGCTGGGCAGAAGCATCCTATGAGACCGGGGATCATCCTTGTCAGTCTCCACCCGCTCACCATCCTTGTACCACTCAATGGTGGGCGTTGGCCGGCCCTCTGCCTTACAGTTCAAAGTGGTGGGCTCTCCCTTAGAGACAATGACATCTGAAGGGTGCTCCACAATCCGTGGGGGGAAGTCTTCCTGGCGAAGACGAGATCCTACAAAACAGGACACAATGAAGACAAGCGTTAACATTTTCTTATCTCTAGCTTTTGTTTCTCTTCGGTTCACTTTAGTGAAATTAAACTCTTCAATTATTCAAAATGCACTTACTACTATTTTATTTATGCTTTATACTTTTGTTCTTTATGCATCTCCTAAGTCATCCCAATTCCTTTGTGGAATGTGATAATATAGCAAAAAATTAATAGGTTAATTCTAATGAGTTAGGTTTAAATGTTCCATGAATCGTGGCTAGGAAAAGTAAAAGAGAGTATGAGATTTTCTTTTGGGTACTAAAATGAGCAAGATTAATCTCCTGCCCTCGAAGTGATTACTATCTACTGGGAGACAAAGCCAAGTGGGCAAGTACCCAGAATACACAATGCAGTCTATCATGCTGGCATTGTGTCATCAGACTTCACATAAAAAGAGATGCTCAAACTAGGTACAAATATTAACTCAATTTAACAGATGAGGAAGCAGGTTAGAAAATGACATCAGTTGCCCAGAAATGTGGAGGCAATAAGCAGTTGAGGCAGGATTTGAATCCAGGGACATCTGACTGAAGAATTCAAGTATAAATCATTATGTTAAAATAAAATAAATAAATGTTGCTTGGAGATTCAAGAAATGCATTATAGGAAGAAAGTGGGGAAAAAATGTTAACTCTAACTAGAGTATAATGAGGCCTCCCCTGAAAAGGCATCATTTAATTGAGAGGTAAAGAATAAAACTATGTGGGGGCGCCTGGGTGGCTCAGATGGCTAAGCGTCTGCCTTTGGCTCAGGTCATGATCCCAGGAGCAGGGAGCCCGCTTCTCCCCCGCTCATGTTCTCTCTCTCTCTCTGTATCTCTGTGTCCCGAATGAATAAAAAAAAAAAAAAACCTAAAAAATAAAAAGAATAAAACTATGTAAATAGAGGGAAAAAGACATTCAAATTGAAGAAACAACCTGAGATCATGAGAGTACATGCATAATACGTTTCATAATCAGGGAGCAAGTTGATATGACAGGTGGAGGTGAAAGGTCTTGTCTTGGGAACTGAGACAAACAGTCTTTAAATACCACACTAAGGATTGTGATCTTCATTCTATATGGCTAACAGATTTTGAGAGGGCAGTGATATGACTGTCAGTACTAGAAAGGTATTTTTGGTGTGCAGTGTAAAAGATAAAGAGCAATGGAGGCAAAAGGACAGTTGAGAGTTATTAATTGTTCCAGAGAACAATAAAAAGAACCTGACTTTGAGAAATGATGCTGAAGGTAGAAAAAAAAAAAAAACAGAGAAAGATACAAGGCATAGCATAAAATAACACTTGACAGAATTTGGTATATCACCATATAGTAAGGAAGAGTGACCAATGACTTCCATGTGAGTGAAATGAAAGTGGGGCTATTAAAGGGCAGAAAAAAATAGGAAGAGAAGGAGTTGTTGGTATTTTAAGGTGAAGAATCTGCATAATGTGTCATTTTGAACATTTTTAGTTTATAGGGTATCACAGGCCATTATTTGTGAAAGGGTCTTAGCAGCTCCTGCACATAAATCTAAAGGAGATGATGAGAGAAATAACCATGTCTGAGGACATAAAGAGAGTCCAGATACAAGCTTTAACATTTTCTTTTTTCTTTTTTTTTAAATTTTTTATTGTTATGTTAATCACCATACATTACATCATTAGTTTTTGATGTAGTGTTCCATGATTCATTGTTTGTGTATAACACCCAGTGCTCCATGCAGAGCGTGCCCTCTTTAATACCCATCACCAGGCTAACCCATCCTCCCACGCCCTCTCCTCTAGAACCCTCAGTTTGTTTTTCAGAGTCCATCATCTCTCATGGTTCGTCTCTCCCTCCGATTTCCCCCCTTCATTCTTCCCCTCCTGCTATCTTCTTCTTTTTTTTTCTTAACATATATTGCATTGTTTCAGAGGTACTGATCTGTGATTCAACACTCCTACACAATTCACAGCACTCACCATAGCATATATCCTCCCCAGTGTCTATCACCCAGCCACCCCATCCTTCCCACCCACCCCAGGCAACCCTCAGTTTGTTTCCTGAGATTAAGAATTCCTCATATCAGTGAGGTCATATAATACATGTCTTTCTCTGATTGACTTATTTCACTCATCATAACACTCGCTAGTTCCATCCACATCGTTGCAAATGGCAAGATCTCATTCCTTTTGACGGCTGCATAATATTCCATTGTATATATATACCACCTCTTCTTTATCCATTCATCTGTCGATGGACATCTTGGCTCTTTCCACAGTTTGGCTATTGTAAACATTGCTGCTATAAACATCAGGGTGCACATACCCCTTCGGATCCCTACATTTGTATCTTTGGGGTAAATACCCAGTAGTGCAATTGCTGGATCATATGGTAGCTCTATTTTCAACTTTTTGAGGAACCTCCATACTGTTTTCCAGAGTGGTTGCACCAGCTTGCATTCCCACCAACAGGGTAGGAGGGTTCCCCTTTCTCCGCATCCCTGCCAACATCTGTCATTTTCTGACTTAATAGTTTTAACTTAACCAGCCATTCTGACTGGTGTGAGGTGGTATCTCATTGAGGTTTTGATTTGGATTTCCCTGATGCCGAGCAATGTTGAGCACTTTTTCATGTGTCTGTTGGCCATTTGGATGTCTTCCTTGGAAAAATGTCTGTTCATGTCTTCTGCCCATTTCTTGATTGGATTAGTTGTTCTTTGGGTGTTGGCTTTAACATTCTCTATCCAATCATCTAATAGAACCACATTTCAGCTCAATAAATAGAAGTAATATTTATTCCTCAACGTTATTTCACTTTATTTTCACTATTAATTAAAAATGCATATTTTAATTTAATCAACGATATTTAATTTGGTAGTGAATGAAACTTTTCTGAGGAAGATTAATTTTAAAGGTTGTTGAATATCAACTTTTTTAATTTAATTTTTTTTGATAATTTGTTATCTCATCACATCCAAGAAGGAACTTACACATTGCAAGTGTTGGGTACCTAAAGCCAAAGAGTAATTTAAAGTACTCAGGTTGGAATATTTTTTAAAAGTCCTGAAGAAACCCAAAGCATTTAAATATGAATGGTTAACCACATTGTGCATCAAAATAATAAAGAAGGTATACACTGAAAGTACGGGTCCCTAAAGCAAATGAGGAATTTAAAGAATATAAACAGTAAGATTTACTTTTTAAAGAAATGAACAAAAAAGATCTCAAAGTATTTAAAAGTGAATGGCTAATCACAGTTTGCAAATCAGTAACACATTCCTAAATATAATGGTCTGGACTTAGAGCCATAGAATATGATCCTAAAATGGAACAAGAGTTTAATCTCACTTTTCATGTAACAGGCATACAGGCTATAATCACCTTGTTTAGATATCTTTCTTGTTCTTCTCTAATTTCCCACATGCACTTATCTACAGCTCCTCTATGTCAAAGTTGCTCTATTATTAAAACTAAGCAAGTCAATCATCCATGTTATTGGAGTGCTATTTACTTTATCAAATAGTTCCCCACCCCCTTAGGGAGTTGGCCCAGAGAAGGCCTGCAGAGGACCTGAAATACACTAATATTTATTAAATAAATATAAAATAATTGGCTTATAAAAGGAAAAAAGGCAAAATATCTAAACTGCTTAGCAATAAAATCTGGAATCCAGCATGTCCAGAATTTTACCCATTTAAACACTATAACATATGTAAATCTTTTCTAGTATTGTCTCATTTGGATATTCTTCTAATCATTTTATTCTCACTCTTATAAAAACTTCAAAAGGACATCTACAGTCTAAATGTAAAAGGTAAAACTATCAATTAGAAGAAATCATAGGAGCAAATTTCCATGACCTTGAGTTAAGCAAAACCTTCTTGGGCACCAAAAGCATACACCACAAATGAAACAATAGATAAATTAGATTCATTGGGTTTAAATATTTGTGCTTGAAAAAAAAAAATCAAAAGAATGAAAAGACAACCCACAGAATCAGAAAAAAAAAATTTGCAAGTTATATATCTGATAGGGGTCTTATATCTGGAAAATATAAAGAACTCTTATAGCTCAATAAAAATACAAATAACCGAATTTTAAAATGAGCAAAGGATTTGAATAAACATTTATGCAAAAAAGCCAGACAAATGGCAAGTAAGCACATGAAAAGATTCTAGACATTATTAGTTACTAGGGAAACGCAAATCAAAATCTCAGTGAGATACATTTCACGGAAGAAGGACAATACTCAAAAAAGGTAAAATAGTAAGTATTTTGGGGGGTATGTGGAAAATTTGAGAGCCTCATACATTGCTGGTGAGAATGTAAAATGGTGCAGGTGCAACCACTTTGGAAAATATTCTGGGTTTTCTTGACATGTTTTGGAATTAACATATAACCCAGTAATTCAACAGCTAGGTATATATACTCAAGAAAAAGTAAACCTTTTAGCCACACAAAAACTTGTACCTGAATGTAATGTAATGTTCATGACAGCATTATTCATAATAACAAAAAAAGGGAAAGAACTCAAATGTCCATCAACTGATGAACAGATGAATACATGTCATATATCCACATAATGGAATATTACTCAGCAGTAAGAAAAAAAATGAAGTCCTTATATACACTATGGCATGGATGAACCTTGAAAACATTATACTAAGTGGAAGAAGTTAATCACAAAGGGTTGCATATTGTATACCATTTATATGAAATGTCCAGGAGAGAGAATGTAGGTTTGCCATTACCTAGGGTGAGCGATATGGATCAGATGTGAAGAGGTCTAGGGTATCTTTAGCAGGTGATGAATATATTCTAAAATTGATTATGGTGATGGTTGCACAACTCCATGAAAATAATAAAAACTATTATATTGCACACGATAAATGGGTGAATTGTGTAGCATATGAATTAAATCTCACTAAAGTCATGGGTAAGGCACTGTGAACAAATATAAGGAGTAAGAACTCGTGTTCACTCATACCAACAGCTAGGT